GGGTTTCAGTTGCAAGCAGCGCAGCGCGCCGGGCTCGGGGATGCCCCGCCGCATCCTACCCCGCGCCTCCCGGCTCCCGCACGCAGGTAAGCGCCGCTGCCCGGCCCGGGGCTCCGGCTCCCGGCACCAGCCCCGCCGGCAGCGCCTCCCGGGGACTGCCTGGGGGCGAAGGTGCAGGGGACGGAGCCCCTTGCGGGTGCAGCTGCTTCCTCCGGCCCTCGCAGCAGCCGGCTGGGGGAACAGGCAGGCGGAGGGGGAGGAAAGAAGAGTTGCAGCGGTTTTAGTGCCGGTGGAGGAATTGCATCATTTCAGCTGGGTTCATGAGTGCTGGGAGAAAAGAAAAGCAACAGATATATGCAGATATGGAGATGTATTCGGAGCTATGCAGAGCTAGACAGATACAGAGCGATGCAGATATCTATGCAGAGCTATACCCATACGGACATGGAGTGATCCAGACCTCTGTACACATACAGATACAGAGCTATCCAGATCTCTCTCCAGACCCCTATTGATAGCTATACCGATCTATCTTGATATAGATGTAGAGCTATCCCGATATCTCTCCAGACCTCTGCTGATATCTATACAGATCTGTATTGATATAGATGTAGAGCTATCCAGATCTCTGTCTCTGTGCAGATACAGAGCTATCCAGATCTCCATGCAGATCTCTCTTGATACAGATATAGAGCTATACAGAACAGATAGGAAACGACTGCTTCTTTATGGCTCTGTGGCCCTGGCGTTGCTTTCTCCCCCCGGCCAGTGTTGCAGACTTTCTCTACCGGCAGTTGCAGAACATGCTGAGAGTCTCTTGTGTCTGCAGGGAAGATGTGTATCTGGGTTGTTGTTGGTTTTTTAATGCCCCCCCCCCCCCATCTCTTTCCAGCTCTGCACTCTTCTGGCTTCTGTGCCTTACCTTTGCACTTGTTTGCTTTTCCATCCCTGCTGGCTAGTGCATCAACTACACCCCCTGGTGCTGACTATTTCATTTCGTAGTGACTTGGTCATCCTCTAGAAATAAGCCTGAAGTCTGCCAAGGAGCAGACTGTCACATGCAAATGCCACTTCTCCTGTCCCTGTTTCTCCAGGGACATTTATTTCCCCCTTCATCTGATTTCCCCCCCCCCAGCCCTTTGACATATTGATAATTTTATTAAGACAAAAAAACTCAGGATTAAAGCATGAGCTCCGTGTGCTTCAAAGCCCCCAGCTGAACTGAGTAGAGAAATGAGTACGGGCTGGGCTAATAACTTTTTGAAGTCACTCTGGGGACTGGAGGATGCAGTTACTTTATTTATATCCTTCTGACGGAGGGAGCCAAAGGGGCTGACTTTTGGTGCTACTCCATGGCTTTCAGCCCCTTCTCTTCTGTTTACTGAGGACAGAGGAAGGTACTTAACTAAGGTAGCGGTTGTGCTCACTTAGCAACATGTGCCCAGTACACACAGGGCAGAGCAGTGTGGCGTCAGCTTGGGAATAACTGCTCTGAGCACTCATTAGCACTCCTCTTTGCTCTCAACCCTTGTAACATCTTCACCTCTGGTCGGTCTGAAACCCTCCTGCACACTTCTCTCCCAGTTGATCTATACAAATTACAACCATCTGATGTCAATATATATATATTTCCTTCTGGGCTCTTCAAAAGAGCTCCGAGAGGGGGTACTTGACTGGAGGAAGGTATGGATTTGAGTTCTGCCTTTTGTTGTTGGGGTTGTGCAGGTTGGGTGCAGAAATGTTTCTTTTCACAGCAAAATTCCCTTTTTTTTTTTTTTTTTTTCTTCCTCTTCCTTGCAGTAAAACCAGTTGAAATTCCAACCCCTTCCTTTCCAGGCAACTGTTGTGAGTCTGTGCGTGAGCCAACTGGCTGCAGCATTTCTCTAGCTTTTGCATGCTTTTTTTTTTTTCTTCCTAGAAAGTTTGTGTGTGTGTGGAGGGGGGGGAAGACGCTTTAGTGTGCATGTCCCTAAATGTGTCAAAATGTAATGTAGCAGGTCCAGTCCTACAAACAGTGCCGTTCTTATCTTCTGCCCAGTAAGGACTGCAGATATGACTTCTAATTTGTAACTCCTCATTGATATTGATATCTGAGGATTGTAGGGGGGGGAAAAAAAAGCGTTTGTATATTGGGTAGCAGGTGAACAGTCACAACCATCACATTTGTATGCTAGGGTCTTGCATCTTTAGTTTCAGACTTGCTTTTTGCATAGACACAGTCTTGTTCCCACCCCTTACACACCCCAAACTCCCACTGAAACCAGCTGGAAGAGCTGAGGGTGAACACAGACTGGGTCCCTGCTTGAGCAGACCCATCTCTTTTCATACAGATGGTGCAGGGCCTGAGCCTTGCACTCATTGAAGTTCAGGGGAGTGTTCTTGCTGGTGACTTGTGTGCAAGCAGCATTAGGCCCTCGTGGGTTTTGTGGGCTGTGCGTCTGACTGGTGAGTTATTGGCAGGATTTTTTTTTCCCCCTGGTATCCTAGCTACTCAAAGCACACAGTAGGCAGAGAAGCAATTTGTTCTGCGAGAAAAAAAAGACAACAACCATCCCGTGCCCAATACTGTAACATGTGGAGCATGCCAACGTTTTATTGTATAAACTTCAAGAAGCAGTCTGTAAACTTAGGAAAGATGCCCCCAAGGCTTCACCGTACTGCTTCAGCATCCTTTTAGCCAAATAGGTGCAGCTTTTGCTTCCAAAGTCGTAATGCTGCCAGTCATGCAGCTATAATAGCTAATAATGCTGTGCAGATGTACAGTATGCAGAGCAATGGAAATATGACAGTAATAGGCACCCAATGCTATTTCTAGGGTTACAAACAGAGCAAGCTATTCCTAGGAGGCTGGCTTTATAGTTTCTTTGATTTCTGCAATTCAGATGTCCTGGGTTCAAGATTTATTTTTTTTGGACAGTTGTATTTTTGCATCCTCCAGCTTTCATAGCTCTTCTTCCTCCTCACCCTTTAAATCCAGGAGGCAATGCAAAAAAATGACTTCAAAACAAAACTGTTTCCTAGGCTGTCTATTCCCATCAACTTGGATCTAAACATACTTTTAACATGATTGTGATTATAGGATGTGGTTTATGAAACTGATTAATCTGCAAACCAATGCAATGATTTTTCAATGAGCTTTCCTTTATGTGGAGGACATAAATAGTAATTTGACTTTCCTCTTGTATTTGGTTATAGATGCATTTTAAAGCCAACAGAAAGCATCTCAAAGTGAATGTTAAAAGCATTCCTTTGACTTTGAGAGTTATAATCTGGTAGGGATGAGAAATTTAATTCTTACCCCTGAGAAAAAAAGCAACAGCAAACTTCACACAATGCAGACAAAATAGTCCAACTGGTATAAGGGCAGCAGGACGATACAATAATGCTGTGAATTAATGTGAAAGTTATATTCAAGCAGGGCCCTACTGAACCTGTCAAAAGCTGCCAAAACGTATTGCATACTGCAGGATCACAGATGACTAATCTCTGGAAATATGTGTTGGGCCACATTCTTGCATAATAATGTGAACTACAAAAAAAAAATAAAAATAAAAGCAAACTGTAGTGCTTAGGAGAGTAATGTCTCATGCACATTTGTAAAGAATGGCATTCCTCCTGCTTTTCACCTGTGGTTTTCTTACAAGTATCTGCCTACCTGGGCTCGTCTAAGAAGATGGAGGGTCTATAGGGAATGAATAAGTTAAGAGGTTATGAGCTGAACACAGACTATTTCAAATCAGTCTGGAGTTTTAGCTCTGCTATGAAAAGATCTTATCTACAGTATGACTTTTTAACCTTGCTGCAGTTGGGTCAGAAAGGGTAGCCAGGGTGTTCTCAAATTATTCCATGTACAAAAGGTCTTTTTCTTTCACTGGCACAATCCTTGGTATAGAGGCAGATTAATATGGATAATACCAGTTTGTTAAATACATCAATAATTTAATCTCCCACCAATGCTTCGGTACTTGGATCTCCTGTTCTTTGGCAAACAGACAGTAGATGGTACCCTTAACTCTGTAACTGTTTTCCCCACCGGGGATGTGCATGGAAGGGGTTACTGCATCTAGTGCATTTTGTCTCTTCTGCAGTATATTTCAGTTAACTTTTCTGATATGCAGTACATGACTTAATGGATGACGCACTGCTTAAAGCACAGCCTGGATCAAAGCCAGACCTCCCTGAAACGAGTTTGGTGGCCTTCGCTCTCAGCAAGAACATTTTGTAGCCATGCTGCTAAGCCTTAGTCACATTCAAGACTCAGGGGAAATTCATGGCCGTTATCCTCTAGAGATGGAATCGCCTTCATCTCTTCGGAGGAAAGCGGCTTGTCACCATCACTGCCAATCCTGCTTGTGTTAAAGCTATTTGCTGGTGAGAGCAGGATGGGGTCTGCTATCAGTCCTACTTTGCTTTGTATGATTGCTGCCTGCTGTGAATTTGAAAACTCGAGACGTCCTCTTGAATGTCTGGAGCTCCAGCCTAAAATAGGAAGAAAAGTGGGTTTGGCACTGATTATTGCCAATGAACGCACAGCCTACTATTGAGCAGAGGGCCAAATTTGGAACAGGTGTAATTTTGTGGATCCAAGGAAGATGCATTCATTGCGTCCAGTTGTTTTTAAGGCAGTCAGGACTCGGAGTAGAGATGATACCTTTTATTAGGCCAACGAGATGTTTGCAAAAGAATGTCTTTAATGTTTTTGCAAAAATCTTGTTGGTCTAACAAAAAGGTATCATCTCTACTACGAGTCCTGATTGCCTTTTCCTCTAGACCAATACAGCTGCCACCTGGATACCTGACATTATTCCTTCAATGCACTTCTTCCCTAGAGGGCCTTGGTCAGAATAGACCTTGAGATGCGTACTTGAAACAGCTTCAGCAATTCTTCAGCTTTGAACTGACCCGCGTTAAAAATCATCCCCCCGCCCCCTTTACAGGAGGTGCAGTTGTAAATACTAGAGAAATAATCATATTCCCCATTTTTTATAAATTAATATAACATATAGGCTTGCAGGACTTGTTCTCTTCTGTGCTCACCCTGGGAAGAGTGACGGCTTGTTTATACTAATACTGTCAGTTGTGTCGATGTGAAACCACAGACGTGGAGAACGTCTGTATCCCAAGGGAATGGCGTGGATAGAAATGAATAGACTGCAAAGCTGTGCCTGTGGATTTGCAGACAATGGTCCGTATTTGCACAGCTTTGATTGACTGTTCTCTTCCCTCGAGTTCTAACGTGCAGTGTCTCTTTCTTTTGCAGACCATGCTCTCTCCGTGACGGATGAGCAGCTCCTAAGCTAAACGCTACATGTCAGACGACTCTCCTTGGTAGATCCAAGGATCCCTGGGGACTCCAAAATCTCCCCACTTTTTCTGTGTGCGTGTGTCCCTCTCGAACTTTCAAAACTGTTTCTCCAAAGGTTTTTGCAGAAACTCGGACTGTTTTCTAAAGCAGAAGCACCTCAGTCCACAGCAGTAGTGATGGGCAGCGTGCGAACCAACCGCTACAGCATCGTGTCTTCGGAAGAGGACGGCATGAAGCTGGCAACCATGGCGGTTGCCAATGGCTTCGGGAATGGGAAGAGCAAGGTACATACCAGGCAACAGTGCAGGAGCCGCTTTGTCAAAAAAGACGGGCACTGCAACGTCCAGTTCATTAACGTGGGAGAGAAAGGACAACGTTACCTGGCAGACATCTTTACCACCTGCGTAGACATCCGCTGGAGGTGGATGCTGGTGATCTTCTGCCTGACTTTCATCCTATCGTGGCTTTTTTTTGGTTGTGTATTTTGGCTGATCGCTCTGCTGCATGGGGATCTGGAGAGAACAGAAATGCCTTGCGTCAGTCAAGTGCGCAGCTTCACTGCAGCCTTCCTCTTCTCCATCGAGACCCAGACAACCATCGGCTATGGCTTTCGGTATGTCACAGATGAGTGCCCCGTTGCAGTCTTCATGGTGGTTTTCCAGTCTATAGTAGGCTGCATCATTGATGCCTTCATCATTGGTGCTGTCATGGCAAAGATGGCTAAGCCCAAAAAGAGAAACGAAACTCTGGTCTTCAGCCACAATGCTGTGGTGGCCATGAGGGATGGGAAGCTATGCCTCATGTGGCGTGTTGGGAATCTGAGGAAAAGCCACTTGGTGGAGGCGCATGTCAGGGCCCAGCTACTCAAATCCAGAATCACTTCTGAAGGAGAGTACATCCCTTTAGATCAAATAGATATCAATGTGGGGTTTGACAGTGGGATAGACCGCATTTTCCTGGTCTCCCCAATTACAATAGTCCATGAAATAGATGAAGACAGTCCCTTGTATGACCTGAGTAAGCAGGACATGGACAATGCAGACTTTGAAATCGTAGTCATTTTAGAGGGCATGGTGGAAGCTACAGCCATGACAACTCAGTGCCGGAGCTCCTACCTGGCGAATGAAATCCTTTGGGGACACCGTTATGAGCCTGTACTCTTTGAAGAGAAAAACTACTATAAAGTGGACTATTCTAGGTTCCACAAAACGTATGAAGTGCCCAACACGCCCCTTTGTAGTGCCAGAGACTTAGCGGAAAAGAAATACATCCTCTCCAACGCAAACTCCTTTTGCTATGAGAACGAAGTAGCCCTCACCAGCAAAGAGGAGGAGGAGAGTGACAATGGGGTGCCCGAGAGCATGAGCACGGACACGCATCCTGACTTGGACCATCACAACCCGGTTGGGGTGCCGCTAGAACCTAGGCCGTTAAGGCGAGAATCTGAAATATGACTGATTGACTTTTCCTCTGTTATCTTTTGGTTTAAAAGAAAAATCTATCGGTCAAAGATAAGTTGACCCGAGAAGTCGGCCCGGAACAGTTTTCAGATGACGGTACTGTTGAAGAGTGGCATGAAAGCAAGCAGCCCCGAGAAACCGAGGCTGGTTTTAAGGCTGCCTTCAGAGAAGGGACAACAGAAAGTGAACTCTAAACACAAAGCACTAAACATGTCTAAGCATGACCAGAAGGCACATATGTTGTAGAATAAATTATGTATATATTTTTTTACAAAACTTGAACTTGCAGGCAAGCTTTGGTTGGGTTATATATATATTTTTTTTCAACTTTTTCCAGAATGCTTCTCTCTAGGGAACAAGAATGTTTTTAATGGCATAACAAAGGCAAGAATCTGCCTTATTATTATTATTAATATTATTATTGTTGTTGTTGTTTTTTTTTTTTTAAAAGCTGCTGCTAACTACATGAACACAAATTGTTATTTTGTTGCAGTGTAGTTTTGTTTTGTTTTTTTTTTTTCTCTTGTGTAATTTAAAAAACAGTCAGTGTTCAACTTTGTGGGTTGAAAAAAAGCTCGTGATCACACTTCAGTAAGGCCAACGCTGCCAGATAGTCTGAATTTCTTTTGAGGCCAGTAGTTTGATAGCTAGAATCAATTTCTCTTTCTTTTTTTTTTTCCAGTTACATAAGGGGCATTATGTAACATAAGGCCAATTGATAGCCTCCAGCAACAGTTTTTATTTTTATTTTGGGGGGGTGGGAGAGGGAGGGGGAGAATTTCATTCTCCATCTCAAATTTTAAGTTAAAACTACCTAAGTGGATACCAAAGAAAATGCACATTTTTGCACAGTGGAGCTTATGGAAATGCAACGGGCTGCTTTAAACAAAACCACAAATTCTGAACCTCTGACATTTGTAAAGGCCCTTATTTTGCACCTTATTCAGAAAGCAAAGCTCAAAACTTGGATCTAGGTAAAGCAAGACCATATTTTTTCCCCCCCTCTTCCCGCCCCGTGCAGAACATCGGCCCCTCTGCTTTTCTTCTATAAGAAGAAACGAGGGGCTGTGCAGGGGGGCCGGGGAAGCAAACATCTGCTCTTTCCTGTTAGTGAAACACTAGCAGGACTCTAGCAGAAGGTCAAGTGTTACTCTGCACACATTCCAGACCTGCTCCTCGAACTTCGAGCCCTCTTAAAGCTGACCCAGCAATCTGAAAACTGAGCCATCAGACGTGCTGGAGGCCGCGACCGAATAAAAATCGACTGTCATTACGTTGACTAGTTAAACTCCACCAGAGACGTGCAAGGCACCGGTCTGTGTTGGAGGGTAACTGGGTTGGAATAGACACTTAGGCGCAGGTGAATCGAGTGACATGCGGGGAAGGAGGGGGGAAAAAACCCCCCAAAACGGTGGTAAATCAGTGTGAAACGGCAGAGGGATCCGAGTGGAAATGCTTCTCTTTGGCAGGGCAAGGGTGTCAGGCAAAGTGTTTTCTGGATTGTATGAAAAGGGATTATTTGAAGAGGATAATACTGTAAAAGAGTTTCCCTCTCCTACCTCCTTCCTGCACCCCCCCCTTCCCTCCATCAACATCAGCTGAATTATCAGTGGATGTAATATATCACCAAGCCTTTGAATAGCTTTTGTGACCTTACATGGAAGCCACGGCTCCAATGGTATTTTGGCTGCCCGACCAAAAAAGCTTAAAAATTTTTGGTGCCTCTAAGATCGAGCGCATAACTTAGCTGCACTTCAAGGTTTTTCGCTTGTGCATCTCCCTGTAGGAACAGGTTGGGAGAGGAGGGCCAGGATCAGAAATCCGAGTCAACTCTTTTACAGTATTGGATCACTGTATGCCATTAAAAAACAGCTTGTTCTAAGTCTAATGTCTTCTACAAATGGACATCTGTGAAGGCCTCTGGCCCCCTACAGCCTTGTCTGAAGGAAATGCCTGCAATGAAACGGTGGTTTCTGATAAGATGGTATCTACAGTAACCTGAGTAGGTGGGTTTGAAAACTGTGTTAACCTTGTAAGCGTAGCTTGGGATAGGAGAGAGGGCAGATTTTTTTTTGAAGGGAGGAGATGGGTGAGAGGGAGGAAGAGCTTCACACGCAACACAGCTGGGACACAGTTTTCTGGGTCATAGACAGTGAAGGCAATTGAATGCTATTAGTGCTGCTAACAGTGATGTTCTTGCATAGGAAACCAACTAAACCAAAGAGTATTCAGTGAAACGTTAAAAAAGAAAAAAAAAAGATGCTGTGGGGACGGGTGGGGAATGGAAGGATGAAATGGAGACTCCCCCCCCGCCAGTGAGGTTACTCCCAAGTGCCCCCACTTAAGTGACTTGAGTCAGAAGAGAAAGGGATGGGAAATGAAGAATGGGGAAATAAAAGCTTTGGTTTGTTTCTTTAAGGAAAAAAAGAAAAAGAAAAACCTAAAGTTTTCTGATGCACAGATTTCTTTTTCCAAGTCAGTTTTTTCAGAAATATTTTTAAAATGTACATTTTATAAAGTTTATTGAGTATTTTCATATTTAAAAGCCAAATGTAAATAAAAAAAAATCTGTAAAGGTGGAGAAGAAGAAAAACAGAAAAGGCCATAGAAAGTATAAATTCAGTTCATCAGTCTTGGCTAGCTAGTACCTAGATGCTACCGGTTAGCACAATTTTTAGCAAATATTTGCAAGCCTTATAGGATCCTTAATGCTATGAACTTTTGTTATTTATTTTAAGCATGGACTTTTAATTTGAAAACATGTTCTAGTTACTGGCATTTTTTTTTTTAAAGTTACCAGCTTTCAGATTGCTAGTCGTGTTGAGAGTGGATACTTAGGTCATTCGTTGCACTCTCTGCTGGATTTCTTTGTTTTGTTTCGTTTTGAAATAACCCTTTGTCTTTACCGACTGAATCTCACCTTGCAGATTTGCACTCGGCCTCTGGCTCATGAAAGCTGCTAGAAAGAGAGCTGCAATGTTTATTTCATGGTACCCTTCCCCTGGTTCATCTCTCCAACAGTTTAGGTTGCCACGTTTTTGGAACAGGCTTTGGTAAGCCCTGGCCAGGTCCGGCTGTCGGAGCACTCCTACGCAGGTGCAAAGCGGTTTAGCCGATCCCTTTTATTTTGGAGGAATACAGCGACTGACAGCATTCATTCAGTGATTCTTGTTCCTGGAGCCCTCCTGCAGAGCCTGTTCCAAAAGCCCTTTAAAACGGATGAAATGCCTTTTTCCTCTGATTTTAATGGGTTCTGGTTCGGCCCCTTCATCGAGGGCACGACACCAAGGATGAACCTGGCTCAGCGTCTCTTGTGGCTGGCACAGAAAGTTTAGACTGTATTTTGCTTGGGGAGTCGGGGGGAAAAAAAAAATCTCACTATTTCTGCCCTTCCCTGAAAATACTTGAATGAGACACATTTATTATCTGAAGGCATAATCCTGCATACAGTGACAAAAGCATTTCAGAGGCAGATGCAGAGTATTTCCTGCCCTCTGCTCTCTATGTGCAAGTTGTCTTTTGGTTAAGTAGCAAGGGTAGAAAATCACTACATATTATTGCTCTATTTAATGATACTTTCTCCCAGTCAGGATAAACTTCTGTGTTTGTTAATAGAGCACTTGGTTTTTCTCGGCAAAGACAAAGGGTCCAGATGTTTTGTTTGTTCTCTTAGGTCTTCTTTTTCATATTGGATTACACGGTAAAACTGAGAAGTACTGTAATGTCTTTAAACTATGGCTGCTCTCGACTATTTTGAGGTAGAAAGGTGCTGCATAGTTGCCATCTCACAGCCAATCAGAAACTTCTTTTTTAATGACTTCTGGCCTGCAGCTATTGTCAGGTGAACAATCGAGGCATTTGACAATTGTCCATTACTATTTTCCTGTTTGCAGCCTTTTTGTATCAAAGTCTTCCTAATGTACTGCACAAATTGTGGATTGTACAGATTTTTTATATATTATGTCTTATTTTATTATTTCTAAATAAATAAAAAAACAAAAAAGAGAGAAGAAATCTGTTGCACTGATCCTGTTTGTCCAGGGGGGATGGGTTTGAACATGGTTAAACCAAAATCGGACCTTCTTGCCTGGATTACTTCACAGATACACGATAAAAGATTTATATCTCTAGAAGAAAGAGGAAAGGTGAAACAGTCTTCATTTACCTAATGGGAATTCAGGAGCAGATCCTCATTGGTTCGATGGTGCTATGGCAACTCATCCCAATTGATGATAGGCCCCTGAGAGATTGAGTGATTTTCTTCAGGTCGCACAGGAAATGGATGATAGATCTCCAGATCTGTCCTCATGATCAACTTTTGTTGTTTGAACATACTTGAGGAAGGGCCAGCGGTTTACAAGGAGCCTTTAAAAGGAGGTGCATTTATTCGCAAAGAAATAGGTGGGAAAAACAGGCATTCGGGGCACAAATGAAGAACCTGTCAGGCATGTAACACTTAAATGGGAGCTATACATCCAAATCTCCGTGAGCCATGCCCCTCTACTGTTCATAGATGTAGGGATGACTGATTTGGTCCTCTTAGTCCTTGCGTACAGGCCTCTCGGCTGTTAGTGAGAATGGACTGACCTTGTCAGTCTTTGTATAGGCTTTGTAAGTGCAAATAACTGTAAAGTCCTTGCACGTAGTGTGTGTACATGTCTGCGCATGTGCGTGCATGCAGCTGTCCATCTTTTGGTGTGGATTTTAGATGCTGACTCTGCTTCTTGCTCATCTGGTTATTCCTATACAAGTCACTTTAACTTGTCCATTTTTGAAAAGCAGTGAACAGGATACTGCTTTGTTTGGTGTGTTTTGGACCCTGAGAGGTGCAAGGTATACTTACTGTGGGTCCAGACATAAAGGCTGAACAATTCCCATTCCCATCAAGGATACCACGCCAATACAATCAGGATCTAAGTATCCTTGTCTAGGTGCAACACAGAGTTTAAGTAAGTTTTTGATAGGCCTGCTGACTTTTTTTGGTTTTTACACATCCTTAAATGTTATTTAAATGGATCATTTGCACCATGTAGAGAGAGAATCTGACCATATATGCAGAAGGGCTCCTTTTACGAATTCAGCTTCAGCCTGCAAAATTTATCATCTTTTAGCAAATTACACTCTCCTGGGCCTGTAAAACAAACGCAGCTTTTTATCTTTTTTTTTAATGCCATAGACAGAAGTAAGGTATGGGGTGATCTAGGCTGGACTGATTGCATTGTCCTCCAGAAGGCTAACCTTTTATTACGAATATTCAGACCGCCTTACTGATATGAAGGCTAATTTGGGACAATGTAAAAAGAGAGGCCCAACAAAAAATGTGCCAGATTGTAGAGACATGCTGATATAAACCAGCTGGTTTAAAATATGGAGTGGCATATTGCAATTAATTCATTAGCATAATCTTCTAATAGTTGCTTTCCTTGTTGCGTTCAGTTCTTACGGCCTACTAAAGGACCAGTTTGAACCCCAGCAAATGAAGTTTGATGGTAGCATATTCTGGCATAGCCGTGTGTGTCAATTAGCTGGTGCAGGTATCTTAGTGAAGACACATTTGCACACACTTTATCATGTGTTAGCAACCAGAGTATGAACCCAACTATGCTTTCATTTTGCTGTGTAGACATCCCTTCTGTACCCATCATTTAGAAATGGAATAAAGAAGAAATCAGAACCTTTTCATCATGAGGCTTACAATTTTTTCGGTTTTCACAGATCCCGCACCCTAAAATTTTATGTAATTATGCAAGGGTCCACAGTTTCTTAAAACACAGAAAGGTCTAGACATCACAATGCAGAGTGAAGCCTGAGTGGGGGATATGACTGTACCAACAAGAAATAACATATATGAAAGAACAAACCCTCACACAAATTTGAAGGCAAGCTCATGATTTTGGAGGAGTCTGATTCATGACTTAAATACTCGGTGTCTGCAATACTGGTATAAGTTTCATACAATTAAGCCAACCTAAACCTTAACGAAGAGCTTGTCTGAAACAGCAGAACTGCATGTGCAGGGGAGGAGGGGAATAAGATGGTTAGGTCAGGACCATCATCATATTTATACTTGACCTATTGGAGTTCAGGTCCGTAACCGAGGCTCCTAGGCACTGCCCCAACACAAATACTAATAAAAAACCTGGCGTATTTATACCTGTAAATGCACTGTGCAGAGAAGTTTTATCCAAGTAATTTACTCATTAAATTGCAGCTAGGCAAACCCTGTCTCATAACCCTGAAGTGTACCTACAATGTGGGTTTATACTGCAATCCCTGTACAAGTGCAGGAAAAAAAAAACATGCACAGAAGTAGTGTCGAAGTTGTTATATGTCTGAGGGGAAATATGAGGCAGGTTGAGGAGTACATTACACTCTCTGTAGCCCTTATTTCCACTTGCT